AAAGTTTATTTTTTTCAATTTGTGTTTTGCTTTAAATCGTTTACTCTAAACGACACCCAAATAGACTCTTATACTCACATTCACTTCATTCACAAAAAGATACGGGAAGTGTAATCAATGGTAAAAAATTCTGAATACAGATACCGTTTACCACATGTTGTACAGTAGAGTATTTCTAAATATTACATCGGGCACAAATTTAGTATAAATTATTTATAATAAATTTATATATTAGTAAGTTAATTTCATGTTGATTTCTTTGCTGTTTGTCCTTGCTGAACTTATGTTTAACTTTTAAACTGTAGTGCATTTATTGCATTTAGTGCCTTTTGTGTATTTTATGTATGATTATATTTATGTTAGTTATAGTAAAAAATAATTAATATATTCACATATAGTATATAATTTACAATTTAATAATGTAACCTCTATTAATGTTATTAAATTTTTAGAGTTAATTTTGATTAATTTGGCAAAACTATAAAATTGCAAACTACACTGTTTTGGTTGTTAAAAAAGTTTACAAATTTTTTGCATATTTTAGAAATACAATAAATGACAAGATTAAAAAAGTTCATATTAATTCACAAAATAACTTTATGCATAAATAAATATAATCAAACTTAAATACTTAGAAATCTATCTAAATATATATTTAACAGAAGTTGTTGTATAAAAAATAAAACAAATTTTATATTAGTTAAACAAACATACGTAACTTTGTTTTATCACCGAATTTAACCTCAGGCGAAACCTAACTCCAAAATAGAGTTAATGAATTATGTTACCAATGGTTATTCTCGTGAGGCAATAGAATATTAGCCAATAGTACAACTTTCCCGCATCTCTCGCGGACGAGAGTCGTAGTGATGTAGTGACGTAGTGAACATGGTATTCTACTATCGTAAATTGATTTGAAGACTGTTTAAACACTTTAAGAGAGTGAAAACAGCTAGCAGATAGCCTAGAGAAATAACTCAAACAACAATTTATTCATTGATGAAAATTCTTTGTCTGAAGTGAACATCAGTTCAAGTATTGAATTTGTATTTCTATTCCTAGTGATAGTTGTGTGAAGAGATGGCAATAATAATGTCATCGGATTCTGATGAGATTTCTCCACAAACATCGCCCGTAATTGTCGACTACAACGGTTCCAACGGTTCCGCTCCCAACTCTCCGATGTCCTCAAATGTGTCCTCAAATCTCAATAGTTTTAATAATAAAGACAAACAAAGCGTTAACTCTTTTGCTCTCAAATGTTGAATACAAAGGTGATTATCACTTTATTTACTGCTTTTACATTATTTATTTGGTAGCTAAGGAAAGAGGTAGTGATCATAAGAATTATCTCTCCTAGGGTAGTTATTTATGAGGTTTGGGCTGTGTAACACATCTATCGGTGAATCTCATTATCTTTTTTAATACTTTAGTTTTAATACTCTTAAAATCTTAAGTTAATTCTAAGAATTTAATATATTTTGAAAGAAGTGTTTGTGTTTTATGATTAATTTGGTCTAATTTTTAGGATCAGTACTGAATAGTCGGTCTCAACCTATAGTTTCTGCGGCATCTTTAATGCCAACAGTTTTTGGATCCGCCGATCACTTAATGTCAAGCCATCATTTAGGCCGAAAGCAAACGCCATGGTATCCATGGGCTGTATCATCGGCTGTCATCAGTGGCGAACATTCCCATCAACAGACAAACTCTGCACATCAATACCTATTCCGGGACTATAAAAACTCAGGTAAACTTACAATCAATCAAAATCATGATTATTATTTTATAAACAATTTCATATAAATAATCTATATATTTTAAATTACGATTTATAAATTAATTATTATAAACTTAAAATCAAAAGCAAATATATAGTGATGTTTTTCAACGAATACTAATAAATTTGTTGAATAAAGTGACGAAAAGTGTGTTTCGGCTATAATTACCATTGACTCCAATGTAGAAAATATTTTAAAACTGAGACCCAATGTAATGTTTGCGGCACTTCTTTAGTTGAGATCTCACTGATTGATAAACTGATCTTAAGATTATTGTTTATTCACTCAAAGTTGCAGTTATGAGAGTCTAAACACATGCAAAACTTCAACCAAAAGTGCTTTAATCCATGTTTCCGAGCGCTTAAATGGGACTCAAGACTATGCATTTCGTTAACTATATTAGACTGTTTTACAGAAGTTCCGAAACTTATAAACGGCTTTTGAAGTTTGGTTTAGTTGTAAAAACAATTTGTGAAACATCAGTTGTTACTTTCTGTAAGTATCATTTCTGTTAGAAATAGTTTAGTACTTACGAGTTAGTGTATAATAGTTTATAAGCATAATGCATTAATATTTAAATTAATTTTTCGTTTAATTAAACATTTAGTTCATTGCTGCCCATTACTAATTTTTATTTGATGCAAATGTTCCATACAATTGATTAATTTTTAAATTTGGGAAGAAATCTGTGTTTAATCTGAAATCACATGTATATTATGACTTAAGCGCACAATACTATACATTTTAGAGAATAAAATAATTGTTACTATTGTCAATTTTAATTTAATACTGTATTGTTTTACATGCTATATAATTTAATTGATATTTAATGTACTATTAGTAAATATGAAATATTTTAATTCTAGCGTCTAATTAAAGATTGTAATTTAGATAATGTAAAATTATACTAAATTTAAATGTGCTAGTTTATATTTAAAATGATTAAAATTTCTTAAAATTCTATATCACATTTACAAAGTATTATTTTTATAATACATGGATTAGTATAATGTGAGTTAGTTTTTATAATTATTTAAAGAACGTTTAAAAAGAATATATAAACAAAAGATTGTCAAAGAAGTATTCAGCAAATACTTTCTTCTTTTAAGAGAATATTTTGTTTATTTAGTTATTTTAAGTTTGTATTAAAGATTTATATAAAAATTTCATTATGAGTACAAATTATTTAAATGGTTTGTTTAGTTACTTATTATGTAATGCGAATGAAAAGCAGATTTTGTGTAATATTAAAGTAAAGTCTTTAATTCTCTGTGATCTCTACATATAGTATAAAATTATAGTTAACTTTCTATTATATGACAAATTTGTTTGTTTTGTTTGTAATTAGATTCTGTAAAAGATAGTCACTCGGAATTGACACTAGAGTTGGACAGTAGGGTTATGTCGCCCATGGAATCAAGTGATAAGGAGAGCAGTAATCTAAGCAGTAATGATGTCTCTCCCAATTCAACCACATCTATGACCACAAGCAGCAAGAATTGCGGACCAAATAATGATAACAATAATAACTGCAGTTCCAGTAATTCAAGCAAAAAGAAAAAATCTNTAAGTGAAAAATTGTATAAATATAACATAGTTTTATAGACTTTAAACAATTTGCAGATTCTATAGGATAAGGAGTACTGTAATGAGAATCCTCTTAACTCTAAATATTTTTTGTTGTTTAGACTATGAGTTGAGTGAAACTGTACTATAATATTACAAATTCCTTAATTATTTTAAGCAAAAATCTATTATGAGATGCTTTTATAGTTTCAGAAAATAAGAAAATTACGAAAACATTGGACTGAAATTATATAAATATTTCATATTTTATGCTCAACTGCCTATCAATTAATAATTTGTGAGATCTTCATGTAAAATGAGTGAAACAATTCTTAATTATATGAAATATAATGAGAATCGACGCAAAGCTTTTATGATTACGAGAAATTCTATTGAAGCCCATAAAGGCATTACTGATTAAAAGCTCTTTAAAATCGATTTTGTATTAAGTCATAAGCATTCAGTCATTTTGAGACTAATATTTATTTAATTAGAAAACGATTAAATTGCTGAATACCTCTTTTGCCTCTAATCATAAAAGCTTTGCGTCGATTCTCATTATATTTCATATAATTAAGAATTGTTTCACTCATTTTACATGAAGATCTCACAAATTATTAATTGATAGGCAGTTGAGCATAAAATATGAAATATTTATATAATTTCAGTCCAATGTTTTCGTAATTCTCTTATTTTCTGAAACTATAAAAGCATCTCATAATAGATTTTTGCTTAAAATAATTAAGGAATTTGTAATATTATAGTACAGTTTTACTCAACTCATAGTCTAAACAACAAAAAATATTTAGAGTTAAGAGGATTCTCATTACAGTACTCCTTATCCTATAGAATCTGCAAATTGTTTAAAGTCTATAAAACTATGTTATATTTATACAATTTTTCACTTAATTATCTAAAACAACATTAGTTTAAACATTAGAAATATTTAATTGTTAATGATTTAATGACTTACTAATGATTTGTTTCTATTTCTGTATTTTAGGTAAAGATTTGGTTTCAGGTAATTGTTATATGAAATACTATAGGAATTGTTGGTATAATTATGGACTCATTTATATAGAATCGGAGAACAAAGTGGAAGAAGCAAAACCCGGGTATGGATGCCAACAGTCCAACGATCCCTCAATCGCCAAATGGCAGTCTTTGCGGGCCATCACTGCAATCGGGTTCGCCATCCTTTGTAACGGGTGGTTACCCAACGGCTGCCCTTCTCTATGCATCTCAATTATCTCAATCACAATTGTCTCCATTCATAAACGTGAGCTCTGCCTCTTCGCTGTCATTTCCGGCCGCCGCGGCTGTCCTCTCATCGGCGGCCCAGCATTTTGGTCATCACCCACTTATGCACCATTTGGGACACACATGAACTCGAGGCATGTTAACCATGTATTTTTGAGTGTAAAACAGTGTTTAATCATTTTTCAACAACTCTACTAATTATTTCATTATTGACAACAATTTTAAATTAGTTTTTATGTAAAGCTATTCTAAAGCAATGAATTTTTGTATCTAAATTATTAATCAAAAACTAATTGTATTTAATGTGCATTACTCTATGCATTATTTACTTAATTATGCAAATGTGATTCAAACGCTTAATATAAATAATAATTTTTTCTCATTATTAATATTTGGAAAATATATTTTTACTATTTTATAAAACTATTGATTTATTGATTTATTAAGTGATGTATAAAAGAGTATATAAAAGTCTCTCTGAATATTGAGTGAAAGCATTAACTTTACATAAGAGTAAGAAATTAAATGATAAGTGGGAAGTGGTAAATGTTTGTATGTATTGTAAATATAATGTTTTACTTAAAATATATCACTTAATGTAAGAATAGATGACAATTAGATGTTTGAGAAATGTTGCCAAAGTGAGGATTGAGTTGTTTTTGAGTAATCGTTAGTTTTTTTTGGGAAACTTCTAATTTAAAGGCATTGCAATGATTGCATGCATTGTTTGTCAATTGTTATGCGTTTACAGAGTATGTGTTAACCTCTTTCTCTTTCATGGGATGTAATTTGGAGACAATTTTGTAAAAGAGAGACACTTGAGCTCATATAAGCAGTTATAGAGTGAGAATGCATTTATTTGAGCGCTGTATATGTCGGTGCTGTCAGTGATGCCAGTGTTGGCAGATTTGCAGTGCAATAGTGATAGTATTGATGGTATCAGAGCTATCAATAATAATGATGATGGTTATAGCAATCACGACACATATTGAGTTACAATAGCGTTATAGAGGGTTAAGGGAAGCAAATTATGCATCGCTGGGCGTTTAGCACAGGAGCGCAAATGATGAACGCTTGCGCTTATTCTTGTAATCATGGCTTCAATTCTGAGGTATAGAATTGTATGTAATGTAGAAGTGCTTGGTTTGCATGGCTTGGATGGTTAGGCGCTCACAAATTGGCTTCGGTATCGTGGGCTCAGCCATCAGCCATTTGATCTGATGGCGCTCAAGAGAGTTTAGGTTAGCTATCATACGAACTATTCTCCGCAATATATATATATAATAAGCAGTCATTTTGGACTACTATTTGTCATTTAATGCGTGAACGATAGAAAAGATGAGAGAGAGAGAGAGAGAGAGAGAGAGAGAGAGAGAGAGCTGTTAGAATCTAATACATATAAAGTTGTGTGCATTGAGTTCAATAATTGGCCGCTTTTTGAAAATGAAGTCAAGCCTATAATTGGCTTAAAACAGGGCTAACATTAACGAAATACAACTCAATTTTATTGGAGAATTTGTGTGTTTGTATGCTTTGTATGCTTTATATGCTGTGAAGCTTACACTCAGATGTCCTAAAGTGATGTGATGTTTGACGTTCTTATGCTTTTCAACCCAATAATAGCGATACTATTCTTATATAACATTTCTATCATCTATGGCTCAATGATTTAGGCTTACTATCTATTTAAGTGCTCACAGATTGAAAGCTTAATGCAATTGAATGCTATATACAGTATTAATATAGCCTTTGCCTCCTCTTTATTCTATGTATTCTTTGACTCAAATAACTGCATAAAACTCATCTCTACTACACTTTTAAGCTTATATTGATTTCTGATAAACGGCTGCACCTGTACTACAACTGCATTCAACTCGGCTTTGACTTCAATTCAATTGATATCAATATAACTTATACTATAATCATAAATATAATTCACTTTTTCATTGCTATTCTTATTTTCAAAATGATATCGTTTTTACAAATAGACAAATAATAGGAAAAGTTTTTATCAAAATTACTGTGACTTAAATTTCTTTTAAAGTATTTGTATTTACTTTCTTGCGCTTAAAATAGTTGGCAAACAATTTATTAAATGAATTTAGTTGTGACTTGAATTTAATGTGTTGTAGAACTGGTATAAAATAACATTAATTCAATGAATATTTGAGTATATAGTGTACAATAGTGTTGCCTAACGTAAAACCATAGCGTATGTGAACTCATCTCACATCTGCTCCTCGCATCCCAAAAGCGCTGGCAATATAGCACTGGTAGCCGAGTATTACTATAAGTAAGCACTAAGTTGTAAGTTTGAATCGACAAATACAACCATTCATTGTATGCCTAATGATTGCCCGATATTTACTGCAATGAGTTTGTGGCAAATTTGTCCGTCAAAGCGATCGTAACGATGGTATGGCCGGTAAGGCTCGTAGGACTGGTAGGGCTGGTGTGTCACCGGAATGTGCATAATAGAGAATAATAGAAATAATAGGAATTGAATGTATGTGTTATAGCCATTAAACGGATAAAGTGAAAAATAGTAGCTATTTAGGAGTTGTATTAGACTTGTATTAGCCCTCACTGTTAGCTTTGCTCTCACTGTCACTCTCTTGGGATTCAACGCCTGATATAACTTTAGGACAAATTATGCGCAACACTAACGGACAATACAACCCCTAATGAGAGGCTCAAGTCATCCCTTGCGAAATGAATCCAAGGGCTCGACTCAATTCAATGCAATCCATAGTGACTTAGCCTATCGTATCAATTATTTCTACATAGATCTGCCATTCATTTATTCTCGTTTCAATTCCTGGTCATTGCAATTGACTATTATTTGTATAATACTTCAAATATATAACAATGTATATAATATACAGTATAAAAACAAATTAAATTTTAACACTAATAATAAAAGTGAATGAATAGCTGTTTCCGCCACTCTTTAAATAATTCGGTTCAAAGCAATCGTGTGATCGATTCAAACACTATTCGTTTCACTAACTATTGATATTAGACTAGAATAGAGGAAACCTATTATGGAAACAATTGAAACGCTCTGACTATACCTACACTACTGTCACATTAATTCTTGTCGCAAGCATTTGGTGCGTCCCATAAGACCCTACTATAACAAGACCACCGCCACAACTATCACAGGCATCACTGGCTTCATAGCCTACCAGTGCCTCGGATTCTCATACTCTGACACGCATTTCGGTCCACAGAAATTGATATCATGTGCCTCTCATTCAAATCACTCATCTTTGATGACGAGAGCACATCATATTTCATGTATTACTCAAATACGAACTCATCTTATATTTCATGAAAAAGATTATTAGTTATAAGTTCTTTCTCTTAAGATATGTTTCTTCAAAACAATTTCACATTTATTTGCTTTTAGAACTACATATACTGTACTGTATATGAAGTCAAATATGAAACATAATTTTATATTTTAATTATAATTTATAAACAAGAATTTTTCTTTATGTTAGAATTAACACAATTAAAAAATAAAGTAATTATTTTAAAATAATTAATTAATAATAAGGGAATGATTGAAATTTATTGACAAAATAATTGGTTTAAATTATAATAAAAAAGCGAATTATCACTCAATTTAGTGCATGTCTTAGAACTAAGGGAAGAGTTTGTAGAGAAGAGAAGAAGAAGAATATAATAAAGTTGTGTAAGAATTTGACATTTTGTTGGATGCGTTTCGCACCGTTTCTCACTTAATTTTGCGGAACCCGACCAACAAAATGGAAAGCTATGGAAAGGCATCTCCACCAGCACTGGCATCACTGGCATCACTGGCATCGCTCACAACTCCAACAGTTATATACATTGGATTGTTCTGCTGTGCGATTCAATACAACT